TATGATCACGCTTTAACCTAATCGCCTTGTAGATACTTTCGATGTCAAACAATATTCTGAGTTATTTTTCCATGCTTTAGAACTATTATTATAAATTAATAATATTTAAACTTTTAGGTATAAAATTAGATACATTTTTTACTGAGATAACATATTAATTACAAGCATGTTCAGCATATATATTTTATCAGGTATATTTTATTTTGCTGATTAATTTTCTATCGAGTTTATCCCCTATAAAACCCAACCAATTCTTTCTGCATATTTTATTATTATATTTTCTGTTAATTTATAATTTTTAATTTACCGCCAGTCCCGTCTAATCAAATGCTTATACAGATGCCTGTTGCAATTTCAATACATAAGTTATTTCTATTGTTCATCTTTAATTTTAAATTTCCCGCTATTTCATATGCTGACATTGATGCAATACCGGATAAAAATGATGTAAGGCTGTTTGGAGTTCATTGACCTCCCTTATAGGTACGATTTGTTTCGACTTATTGATTTTAAATGTTCTGCATGTTTTTTTTCACATACCGGGTTTTCAAAAATGGAACTACCCTCTATCTCAGAAAATACTGCTCAATAAAAAAAATGATTAGGACAAAAGCTGCAGGGTTTTGAGTGAGCAATCCAACGGTGACCTTGGCAATGACCTTGAAGGAAAATTGATCAATAAATTGTCAGCTATGAGAAAAGTATTCGATACTGATTACTTTTTAAGTAGAGATTCTTCACCAAGTTTCGATACATGTAATCACGATAATCGGTAATACTCGGACTCGGTTCGGAATAATTACTGAACCCGTGGATTTCAGATTTGGTATTATATTTTACTGAAGCGTCTAATACTCATAGATACAATATTTTGTATCAGGTCTCGGAATATTTATCATGTACTCGTTCGACGGGCATCGCAAGGAAAAAGTAGTCGCGTAGTCGTCAACCTATAGGATTGTTACTTAAGGGGGCGATTTAGTATGTATATTTTTACCGTGTAACAGAGCTTCAGATGAGGACACAAATCATCGAAGAAACTAACATAATTGAATATTATTATATATCAATGTATTCGCAATGGTTCCCGCTAGTGAGTGAGATAAATTTCAATGCTCATGAGAACAGAAGAATAATTTAAATAAATGCCAAAGTACCTCAATTTTAACCATACTGTTAGTCTGCCAATATATTCCATTTACAACGGAACTAGGTTAGGCACAATAACCAAACTACTTCACTCACTAGAACGGACACCTAGGATCATTTGTATTTAATTTTCAGATTAATATTTATTAATA